TTTTTTTTTTTGGCCAGGGCTGGGTTTGAACCCACCACCTCTGTTATATGAGGCCAGTGTCCTACTTCTTTGAGCCACAGGCGCCGCCCTTCTTAAAAGTTTTTAAAAGAGACTGGGAACTCTATTCATGTAACAGGAGGACAGAGCAGCCTGTATTTGGGGAGGGTGTTTACTTGCAGGTGTTTTGCTCATGGTAGGAAAAGATTTGCCCTGAGACATTCGCACCTCTCTCTAGTTCATCTTGTAACAGATTGCGTGTTTTCTCAGGGTGTTTAACTTGGATTAGGGCAGGGAATAAATTGCACATATTATCTTGGCTTAATTAGCAACACAGGTTCACCAGTAGGCCCAGGGGACAGCCAGCTCTGCCCTAAACATTACTACTATGACTTCTTAAACGTCACTCTCTAATATCATTATAATCCTTGAACAAGAGACATGGCTTTCCTCTGAGGGTACCTGCATGTCTAAGAGAATAGAGACTTCAAAAGGGTGGGGAGGGGCTATGTGCTTGGACAATTAGGGCACCCTCACACTGTTACAACTTTCCTTTCTTCCTTTCCACCTTCTTGAACTGAAGCTTCTCTCTTCTTTCATACCTCCTTCCACATCCACAGATGGGGTGGCTGCCTTCCGCGCCTTCTTGAAGACGGAGTTCAGCGAGGAGAACCTGGAGTTCTGGTTGGCCTGTGAGGAGTTTAAGAAGACCAGGTCAACTGCAAAACTGGTCTCCAAGGCCCATAGGATCTTTGAGGAGTTTGTGGATGTGCAGGCCCCACGGGAGGTGTGTTGGCTGTGGCAACCATCCTGTCAGACTTCTGTCCACAGCTCCTGGCTGACACTTCTCTCCTCAGAGGGGGTTTGAGATGGGGTTTGAGATGGGCCTTTCTTACACTGAAGCGAGCCTCCCTATGCTGTTGGCTTCTGATGAAAAGGATCATTTTTAAGGAGAAGAAACCCAAAGCTTCTATCACATAAGCTCTGTTAGCAGTGTTTTAGCTGTCGGGCACTTGAACATGTGCTAGCAGGCACTGCGTTGCTACAGGGATTTTGCAAGAATAAATGCCACTGAGTCTACATTCATTTTCCTAGTAGAAGACAGTATAGCTTAATAAAAGCCAGATCTGTTTTGGAATCTTTTTCCAATATCAGCTCTACCATTCACTAGCTGTGTGATATTGGTCAAGTTACTTAACCTCTCTGAGTCTCATGTTCCCTAATGTCAGAGAGTATTCTAGCACCTTCTTTTCAGAGTACAAGGATTAGAGTGCCCATTCATTATTTGCCACTTCTCATTAATGAGTAATTATGGTTATTGGCATTATTTTATTACAATTATTTGTAATAGGATGCATTTGTATTGTATTGCTATTCTGAGTTATAATACAGAATTTCTCTTGGGAGGGTTTGATTGAAGAAAAATATTGGCTGTCTATAGATTTAGCTGTTTTGCATTCCTAGAGCTCTTCAATTTTGCTTTGACTTGGGATGCACGAGGACTTTATCAGTGGACTAGAATGCAATAGGCCCTTTTTAATGCTGGTCAGAACAGAGATGTGCATTGTACTAGGGCATTTATGTCTTAGGTAGTTAAGAAAGAGGGGAAGCTTACTTCAGGAAACCTGCATCAACACTTGGCTTGAGCCTGACCCTTTGCCTGACATTGCAACGGTCCTGGGATTAGGATTCAAGTAATTTGGAATTATGCCTTGGCTCTGGTACACACTTTAAGTAAGCTTCTTAGTCTCTCTTTTTTTAGTGTTCTTATCTATAAATTGAGATGGAGAAATATCTGGTCTTCAGACCCCACAGGATTCTCACTGTGATGAAAAGAGATGACCTCTTTGAAACCTGTTTAAAAGAAGCATAAATCATCTTAAAGATATAAGATGCCGTCATTACTAATTAGTATATAGCTAGGGCCTGCTGCCGGGTACCTTGGCCCTGCAGGGCCTGTGACCTTGCTCTCTGTTTTTGTCTCCAGGTGAACATCGACTTTCAGACCCGAGAAGCCACGAGGAAGAACATGCAGGAGCCATCCCTGACTTGCTTTGACCAAGCCCAGGGAAAAGTACATAGCCTCATGGAAAAAGACTCTTACCCCAGGTTCCTGAGGTCCAAAATGTACTTAGATTTGCTGTCCCAAAGCCAGAGGAGGCTCAGCTAGACCTCAGATGGGGACTTTTGGAAATCACTGGCTTTCCCCTCCCTTTGCTGCCAAGACCATACTCTAATGTGAAATGTTATAGGTGTTTAAAAGCGGTGGTATTCAGGGTGGGAGGCTAGGGGTGAGGAGAGAAGAGAGGGCCGTGCCAAAGTATGGCTCAGCTGCCGGGACTCGGACTCTATTTCATGTACCCGTGTCTGTGTTTTGGTTAGTGGTAGCACCTTGCAGCTGTTACCTTTCTCTGGGTCAGCCACTTGCCCTTCATAATGCCTTGGGCCATCTCCGCTGAGAAGGCAGATTCGCTGTGCTAGGCTAACCTGTAAATAATGCAAATGCAATTTGCACACCCACCACACCCTCCTCCGTTAGGATTCCTGACTCTCCACTTGTCTTATACTCCTTGAAGGAATAGCTGGATGGCAGGCTCACATTTGTGATTTGCTGTTATAGTGTAATGGCCATTCCCATGTGCTAGGACCTCACAGCTTAGGAGAGAGGCCTCTGTGGAGTCCCAGGTTTCCAGTGCTGTCATTGACTGGTGGCACCTGGGAGAGAGGATGGACTCTATGAGTGGGCTGTTTCTCCCATTTCCACTGGACCAGTGTGAAAAGCTGTGCCCATCTTAGCCTAGGAAATTCACAAGACTCCGCTACCCTTACATTTCCAGCAAGGGTCTTAGGAGATGTCCTTCGTAACTTCTGAAGTAGAGCTGCCGTTAAGAAAGATACAGCTTTGCAAACCTTCATCACTTCTACCCTGAACTTTTCCAGAAATCAAATGACCAGGGAATGTAGCACCAGTAGACTTTTGTGCAGTGGGGACCTGTAGAACCTATCTGTGGCTCAGCGTCTTCTCTGCCCTCGCCTCCCTGTGGCATCACACGCCATTGCTCCATGATAGACAGCTCGGCACAGGGAGGTGAATCCCCATAGCATGGACAGCTCTCACGGTGCCTAACACTTTCCCTGTCCCCCTACCTCCCCCCTTCCATGCGGGTCATGTAATTATAATGGGGGGGGGATGGGAAGTTGGGCTGAAACTCTCCTTCCAGCTGGCTTCCTGGGAACATGCTTTCTTAGAAAGGTCCCTCTCTTGGCTCTCACAAAGCAGCTTCCTTCTCCATCGTTGACCTTTTGGGATTGAGCATGAAATAGGAAGCGTGGCTGAGAAGATCACTGTGAACATTTGGCTGTGGAGAACATTCCTAAAATACTTTCATGGTACTCTGGGGCTGCTCTTGGAAATGTGTCAGGCAACTTTTCCTTGGAGGATAAGTGAGCTTCTTGGAACCTACTCTCGCTACCCAGGAAGAAGTTGAATTTTGCACAAGAGCAATGCCAAGGTGATGAATCCCCAGGAGAGAGACCAGAAAGTGGAAGAAGGGCCTAGAAGAGGCCAGTGTCCAGGTGGACTGAATCACAGAGAAGTGGTGGGGGGACTATCGGGATGATTCATGGCCAATGGATCTGGATTCACTGCAGATCTACAAAAACTTCCACTTGAATCTTTGAAACAGCACATGAGCTCTGGAGTGCAGGTGATTGGAAACTGGGCTGAAGCACTCTCCTATGTGGGGTGATGGACCTTTAAGATTACACTGGCATTCCAGTGCTTGCATTCCTGTCCAGTAACTTTAGAATCCCTTCCTTCCTTGGCTACAGGTAGAAAAGGCCAAGAAGGCCCTTGACACCTCCCCTTAGTGTCAGGGGTCGCTGCCCTGCCACAGCGCATTGATCCCTGTGAGGGAGGCTTGGTGTGACCGTGTGAACGTCAAGGCTGGGGAGGAACACCTGCCCCCCTCGCCCTTACACCAAGGACACCTGTGGAATTTCATCCTAAAACTCCCAAGCCTCAAATGGGTGTTCCTAGTTAGATTAGGTAGTATCGCCCCACCCTGGTTAAAAAAACAAAACGAAACAAAAAACCATTTTTAGCTAAGGCTGCCATTTAATTTAATGATTAAATTCTCTAACAGGGTATTTTAAACATTGTTTACACACAAAATGTGCATCTGCTGCCAACTCTACTGTCGAATGTGAGGTGTATAAAGTGGAATCGCACAAAGCTGCAGAGAGGTGAGACCTTGTAGGAGGGGCCTTTTCCCCACTTCCACTCTCCCAAGGAGAAACATCTGAACAAGAGTGTTGTGTGGTGGCCTCATTTGGGGCCTGGAGTTCTGGCCAACTACTGGCAAAACAAAGGCTGCAGATGGTGGTGTCGTGGTGCCCTGGCGACTTCTTCCCATGACGGGGAGGTGTGAAGGACCAAGCTCGGGTATCCTGAATTCTGCAGCTAAGCGAGGGTGTGTGGGCGTGTGTCCGTGTGTAGATGACCGTGATGGCTACATTTATGGTACTCCTGTGGAGCGGCTCTGTGTGTCTGTGCATGTGTGACAGCTGTGAGCGCTAGACTAGAACACCGTAGACACGATCTTCCCCTGGGGTGGAGCTTTGCTCACCCCCTTTATGCTCTGCTTCCCATCAGAGGCACTGAGCTCTCTGCTCTGATGCCTACTTTTAGGCACTTTGGTCATGCTAGCCCAGATTTTGGTCTGTGATAAAACAAAGAGAAATGTTTACAACATCTAGAGCAATATCAAAGTATACCTCATCCCGACCTTCCATGTCTCCCGGTCCTGCCCTCTCTCCGTCTCCTCTTCCACAAGCCCTCATCCACCTCACTGGGTCGGCATCCACACATGCCACTTCCATCCACTGTCTTCCTCTGCTGCTCGTGTAGGACTTGTGCTGTGGACTGCCTTGTGGACACGAGATTGCTGTGGTCCTGGGGCCTGTGCAGGCTCGTGGCAGGCCAGGGCAGTAGTTTGGGAAGAGCTGTGACTTTCAGAACTGCTCTCCATCCCTGAGTGCCCTTTGGAGTGCCAAACTGTTTGGGCTGGTGTGAGATTCACTGTTCCTCTTGGCTTGGCAAACAAAACAGAACAAGGTCAGCATGAACCATTTGCAGCCTTGGGCACCTCTGGGGTGAGAAAGAATCCTCTGAGCTGGGGAGCGTTTGTAAGTGTGAATCCCCAGGTTCCACACCCGGAGATGCTCATCTGATAGGCCTGGGAAGGGGACCAGAAATCTGTATTTTGAATAAACTCCTAGATGGGTAGTGAGTGGCCTGTGGACTTTGATAAAAGATCGTTTAAGACAGTGGCTCTCAACCTTGACTGCTCATTAGCACCATCCGGGGAGTTTTAAAAACCCAAATGTCCGCGTCCTACCCTAAAATGGCTACATCAGAAGCTCTTTGTTAGGGACCTGGTATCTGTAGTTTCTAAAGTTCTGCAGGTGATTCCAACATGCAGATGGGCTTAAGAAACACAGGATGAGGCATGAGGGCCAAAGGGGCTAAAGCACATCCAGCTGCAAACAAGCACAGTAACTAGGAGCCCACCAGCCCTGGAGTGTGACTCTCAGGATGCTGGCGCTCTCTTCTCAGTCTGACTTGCTCCTCTGAGATAAAAGCGTCTGGGCCCGAGCTATGTGCGTTGTTTGATAGCAGGTATGCCGAGGGGCCCTCCGTCACGAGATGCTCTGCCATGCTTTCTGAGTCTCATTCTCCAAGCCTGCCTCCCTGTCCGTTATCATGTGTTCTTATGTTTGGCCATTTTGTCGTTAGGCTTTGTTGTGGGTGCCTCTGTACCCAAGGCCATGTAACAAGGTAGTTGGAACTCAGGTCCTGAGTGAAGAGCGTCATGGTAGTGTTAAGAGTAGTAACATAACAATTTCCAAACTTCACAGTGGTGGGCGTCACATCCTGGGAGATAGCAAGAGTTGTGTGGTCTTTCCCAGGCCACAGTGGGGTTTTGGCCCCTGCTTCAAGCCCTGACCGTTCCCTCTCAGGTCCCAGGCTGGGTGGGCTGCTGGGAAGTTCCTAGATGATGTTGCTCTCCGGTGCTCTTCCCAGAACTCGCTGCTCTGAATAAACCAAAGCTGTGAAAGGGCCTTCTGTGCTGGCTGCCGGCCCAGCGCCGGGGTGCAGGCCCTGGGCTCTTCTCCTGGCAGGGCCGGCTGTCTGCCTGTGCAGGTGGAGAAGCCGGCTCTGGTGTAAGGGAAGGTGAGAACCTGCTATGCTGAGAGCTGGGGGAGGCTGGGCACGGGGGAGACTGGAGAGGAAGGAGTGGGCGTGAGAGACCAGCCACCAAGGTGGTGTCTGGTTCTCTAATACCCAGCAGGGAAGGGGAGGGGTGGCCCACGCAGAGGCTGGAGGTCTCTCCTAGGCAAGAGTGCCCAGAGCTCTCCCAACCCTCTCTGTGCCCATTTTCAAGTGAGTCTGAGGAATTACAGTTTTCTACCCTCAGCTGCCCTTCAATCTGCATTCCTCTGGGTTGGAATCACCCCAGAGGTGGCAAGGATGCTCCTGGCACTGAGAGCCTGTGCCTCTGTGCCACTTGGCATGAGATTGTGGAGGAAGACGCCAAGAGCAGAGATGTCTTCCTGTCCCAGTGGCCTCTGAGGACTCCCCAAGATGCTGCGGAGTGAGATGGGAGACTTCAGGATGGGCCATGGGCCTTCTAGGTTGGGGTCCGGTCCTCTCAATAAACTGGTCCTTTCTCAATTCTTACTCCCTTTTGCTCCTCCGGCTCCCTTCCCTCTGCCAGGTATGGAAAAGGTGGCTGGGCTCGGCGCACGCTCCCACCCCGGTAGCCTTAGCTGAGTCACGCGGCGAGCACAACAGATCTGTAGCAGCTCATCTGCCGTATAAACCGCTTGGCTGATGGAGTCCTCATTGAGTTGTTTCATTACCGTGCAAAGTGGAATAATGTCATTCACCTTTACTCTAAACAAGGCTGTGAGAACATAATAAACAGAAACTGAACAAGCTGCCCTTTGCTCTCTGCCCACATTTCTGGCCAGCTGACTCTTTATGAGAAAACGCTCCGTGTAACACGTGGACTCCCCGGGGAAAGCACGCAGCCTCACCCTGGCAGGGGCTGGCACAGGGCTGGCCATCAGGAAAGACGGGGTGTGGGTGGAAATGGGATGAGCGTGGGGGTGGAGAGCGACTTTGGGTTATGAGAGTAGCTGTGAAACTGTAAAGTGCTATACAAATGCGAGGTGGTGTTTTTATTAGTGCCACCCACTGCTTGAAACTGCAGGGAGAAAAAGTCTGAGGATGGTTTGTCTGTTTGTTCAGCTGAAGCAATCTGAAAACACAGTGGGTTGATCTTGCTTATGGCTGTACCTCACTTTGTACAATCAATGTGTCCCTGAAACGCGTGTATTAGTCATCAAATCTTTAAGTGTCTGTGGTGATCAGGACCCCTGGAGGGGACCGAAGGAATATAAGGCCCAGTGTCTGCTCACAAAAGCTCCTTCCTCGTGTAGGGTGATGGGGTGGAGCTGTGTAAAACCTTAGTAAGCCAAGTAAAAATGCTCCAGAGAAGGTTTGTTTTTAAAAGAAAGCTGCAGTTTCTTCAAAGGTGAATCATTTGGGTTACATAAAAAGGCTTTGTAACGCAGGTGATCCCCACCCGTTCCAGTTTTGTAGATTGGGTGAGGAATGGTGGCAGGCTGCAGTGCTGTGAACAGGAGGCCTGCCACGGGTGCGTGTGGGGTCTCTCCTCCTAATTCTTCTAGTCTTTCTACCCCTTTTGCCCCCTGGGGCTTCTAACCCCTCTGGGAGAGAGTGTGGACCAAGGAGGAGAGATAAAGGAGCTGTGGTGAGGGTCACCCCTGGCATAGATGTCCTAGGACAGACCATGGGCTCTCTAGCTTAGCAGGACTGAGTGTGGGGGTGTGATCCTTCCTGGTCCATTAGAGACTTGGGAATCTTCCCTGCAGCTCTGCCAAGGAGGCTGAACGATTCTCTCCAGCTGATGGCCTGGTCCTTCCTGATGGTGCCCAGCTTCCCTCTGCAGCAGCGTTTGCCCCTCTGCCCTGCCCACTTTGACAGGTCCTGGGATGAACTCATGCCGTCCTTTTCCCCCAGAGGGGCCCCCGCACTGTTGGAAGCATTCAGACCTATTTCTCCTAGAACTGTAAGGCAGCAGCTGCTCCCCTTGCTCTGCAGCCAGAGCCCCCTGCCAGCTTGCTGCTCGTGTTTTGATTGTGCAGGCTGGAATAGACACGAGTTTGGGGCCTCAAGGATCAGGGGCACATGTCCGTCTCTCCAAGGTACCCACAGAACCTGCTGTTCCTCGGAGTGAGTTGAGAGGGGCTGGGGGGCTCCCAGCACATGCACAGGTCTGCCCACAACCCTTCACAAACTCTCTCCAAACCCTGATCTTTTTCTCTGTGAGATAGGCTTTCCGTGTTTGCTTTGTCTGGAATCTGCTTGGGTACCTGAGATCTCTCTCGTAGACCTTGACAGAAGGGCCTTACACCTGTGAGACACTCAGCACTATGCTTGGCATCTCACTTACACGCAGTACACAAGGGAAAACACAGGCAGAGGCCCTGCTGGTCCTAGGATCTACATCTAGAAAGCGACAGCCCTGTGAGACAAAAGCTAGCTCCCTCCCGTGTTTGCACTTCCTAGCTGGGCTCTGTCAGCCTGTTTAGGCTGCTATAAAACAAAATACCATAGCCAGGTGGTTTATAAACAACAGAGATTTATTTCTTGCTGTTCTGGAGGCTGGAAGCCCAAGATCAGAGAGCCAGCATGGTCAGGTGAGGACTCGCCTCTGGGTTACATTCTGTTGTCTTCTTATAGAATCCTCACTGGCAGAAGGACAGCAGAGCTGAGCTCACTTATAAAAAACACTAATCCCACTGGCAGGTTTGAATCCAGCCCAGGCCTGCCAAACAACAATGACCAATGCAACCAAAAAATAGCAGGACATTGTAGCAAGTGCCTGTAGTCCCAGCTACTTGGAAGGCTGAGGCAAGAGAATTGCTTAAGCCCAAGAGTTTGAGGTTGCTGTGAACTGTGACGCCATGGCATTCTATGGAGGGCCACATAGTGAGACTCTGTCTCAAAAAATAAACAACCAAAAACCCCATTAATCCCAATCATGGAGCTCCACCCTCATGACCTAATGACTTCCCGCAAGCTCCACTTGCAAACACCATCACACTGGGATTAGGGTTTCAGTACATACCTTTTGGGGAGTCACAAACATTCAGTCTACTTTAGGGTCTGTCCTGATTCTCTATCCCAGAAGTTTGAAGGGAAAGTATAGGACACACTATGGGTGCTAGGAATCAGATTAGACAATTATCTGCTGAGCGGTTCCCCAGAAGCCAGTGCAGGTGCAGTGATGTGGGTTGGTTTTGTTTCTGCCCTGCCGCTTGTACTTTCTCTCCGTTAAAGTGGTCGGTCTACTGCATCTGTCAGGGCACCATGCAGCCCACACCCTCAGAAAAGACTATTCTTCCTAGGAATGCAGAGTCGTGGGGACAAGTGTTGGTTCCATCTCCTGCATCTGCCACGGGGAGAGCCCATCTCTGGGTGCAGGTCCAGACATGCCCTTCTTTAGGAGAGAGAAGCAGCCCTTACCTCCTCACACTGTAATACCAGTTTGCAGGCACCAAAAGGGTCGGGGCTCTCCCTAGAGCCATGTATGTGGGGAAAACATAGGATTTGGGTGCAGTTGGGCCTGAGGTGGAATCCCAACACTGTTGCTTATTGTGTATGTGACTCTGAGGAAGGGACTTAGCTGCTCATTGCCTCAGTTTTCTTGTTAGCACAAGGAGGGATTTATAACACCCACATTTCTAGGTAGGGTGGCTGCGAGGATTAAAGATGAATGTGCAAATTACCTCGAGAAGGACCTACTATCACTTTTGTGCAGGGGCTTAAAAAATAGTAGCTGTGAGCATTGGCGATCTAGACCTGGTGTTATAGATGTCTCAGCTCTACATGTCTACAGCTTGTCTGGGGGTCAAAGCCTGTCATGGCACAGCCAGCAGCAGAAAGCTTGCAGAGCTGGGTTGAGCAGAAGCTGTCCTTGCAGAGAAGTAGGACTCTAGTAGCGGGAAACAAAACAAGGTGCCTTTCATCCAGAAGAGTGCTCGCCCTGGCCAGGGTGTTTCTGCCCCTCCTTAGGGGCCCTGTGAGCTAAATATAAGCGGGGATCATGCTCTGGACACACGGGCTTTTCAATGTGGCACTCAGAATACAAGCAGATTAACTGGACATTTGAGTTGGAAGAGTTAAACAGAAAAAATTCCCTGAGCCAAAACAACTGATCAGCTACTTTGGGCATGCTCCTATCTAATTTATCCTGGGATGACCAGCATTGGACTTTTGACCTATAGACTTCGGAGAACCACGAGAAACATAACTGGTGTGGATATTCTCCAGTTCAAGGGGTGGAGTTCATGAGCAGCTCTGTAAGATTAAAATGGAGCCCGCTTTGACAACTGAATAGCTGAGTGCGGGTTTGCTGGGATATTGAGGGAAATGATTTTCGCCATAAGTGCTAAAAACAAAATTGTTAGGGTTTTCTGGTAAGTGCTTTATTGGGTCAGTTTTAACCTGTCAGCAGGGATGATTTAAAGCCGCCATCCCTCAGGGTCTACAGTGGGAGTATCTCCCTGGAAACAGCAAGGATGGGCTGTAGTGTGGCTTCTGGGATGTGGTGTATCGTAATCACATTCAACCCATAGCCACCCCGGAGACAATGGCAGGCTGGGTCAGGGCACACTTCTGCTCAAGTGTCCCTGCAACACAAGGGGGCAGAAGAGTTGGCTCCTGGGGGGAAGACATGGGGCAGTTACTCATAAGTAATCTTAGCCCTCGCTTTTTGGCCATAGCCTGGTTAAAATGAGAGGCCCGAGGGGGGCTGACCAGGGCTGAGGGCACACAGGCTTGCATCCCTGACTCAGGGACAGCAGTCCCTCTGATATAGCAACCTGCAAAAGAAGAGAGGAGAGAGTGCCTGTGGGTAGTCATGGGAGCCACTGGACTCTTGCCTCTCCCACCCCTTTGCAGGCGACTCTGCAGGGAGACTTGTCTCCGCTAGGAGGAAACATTTTCATGCCAAGGGCAGCATCTGGGCCCACTCTGCAGCCACAGAGACAAGCTTGCTCTGTGGAGGGAGCAGCTGCTGGCCACCTGCTCAGCAGTTCAGGCTAAGCCATTTTTGGAGTAGGGGTGTAGGAACCTAGCCCCTTGAATAAAGGGCAGGAGGGACAGCAGAAGGCATAGTGTGTTCAGGGCCTCTTACCTGGGCCACTGGCTTCTCGAATTGGCCCAGGTGTCCATCCCATGGCCCACCCTGCCCCACCTAAGGTCCCACACACAGGCCCCCTTGGCACACTGGCAGCTGTCCTGCCTGCAAACCTTTCCTGTCTCCCATTTCCCTGCACCTGTCCCAGAGTAGCCAGGCCAGCTAGCAGCAGGCCAGGCAGAGGTCCGTGAGTCCAGGCCACTTTGAAGGGATTTAGGGCTTCAGCCCTCTTTGCCCTTCCATATGCAACCTGCCCCACAGGCCCCGAGCAGATGCAATGGCCTCTGGGGCATCAGCGCTTGTATGTGGGGGAGGGACAGAAGAGCAGGGAGATGCTCTCTGAGGCTGTGGATGAAAGTGCTGCTGAGGACACATTCACCACTAATGAAGAAAGGGGGGAAAGAAACAGAACAGAGGCCCGGAAGTAATCCACCCTCTAATGACCAAGGGTGAGCAGAGAACTCAGTGGGGCTGGGGCAGGAGTCCGTTCTTGACGTAGGGTCACTGCTATTTACAAAGCACTTACTACATGCCCTGTTTTACAAGCAATGTAATCTTTAAGCTTCATCGCAGCCCCTGAAGCAGTTATTGTCACTCCCATGTTACAGAAAACAGAAATGGGGCTCTGAGGGTTACTTACCTGATTCTCCCAGTGAGTGGTAGAATGGGCTTGCAGAGTGCAAGTGGGGGCCCTGGCACGGAGCTGTCAT